ATTTTGTTCAATTTAATTCATATACTCAAAATTAAAGTAATTTAATCTTTTAATTTTGAGAATTGCTCTAATTTAATCTTTTCTCTTAGTGACATTCAATTTTACCATTAAAAGTGTTATCATGGCATTAACATGACACATTTTGAAAATGTGGCAATAATATGATGATGTGACGGTATCACATGGCATTAACATAATGATATGACAAAGCTGACATGGTAGATCGAGAAAAAATTTTATTTAAAAATTTGTGTCATGTCATTGCATCTAAATTGAATAAAAATATATAATATAGGGATTAAATTGAATAAAATTGAGATGTTTAGGGACTAAACTGAAAAAAAATTAAAAAATACAAATCTTTAAGTAGATAATATATATACTTATTAATAAGTCAAATGTTATTTAAATGTGAAAAATTTATGTTGTTGAAAAATATATAAATATTTTCTAACTTGAATATTTGATTCCAAAATAAGTATATTAATTTATCTGTTTTGCAAAAATTAAGTTTAAATTCCTCTTATATAAAAATATTCTAATATTTTATTTTAAAAGGCAGTAGATACTTTGTTCATTGATCACCCCTCAGTTTTCTTCTTCGTTCTTTATTTATCTTTGATTTTCTCATTTGAAGTTTAATTCGTTGTTTATTGTTACAAATTAAGACAATGACGATAGATTTACATTTCTTAATTCTAATTTGATTTTTTTTAAAATTTTTTTAATTTAAAAACCAAACAGCTCTTTAATGACTATGGAGTTAGTGATGATTATAAAAATAAATTCTCGTTCTAACTTGCTCGATTCAATTTAGACATGATAAATCTCTTATTACATTCATAATATCTGAGCTACTCTACCTTTTCAATTTTTTGTTTATTTTTTATGGTTTATTTTGTTTAATATTTCATGTTACATTTTTATGTTGCAATTTCCTTGATTAAAAATTGCATTTATGGTTGAGAGAGTTGAATATAATTGCAAATATTTGTATCATTTTATTTTGTATTTATAATTTTTTTGTAGATTTAAATTAATAATTTAAATTTAGCAGAATTTGATTGTGATTTTTAAATTTAAATAAAATCGTTTTATAAGAAATATAAGGTAAATGAGGTAAAGGTTGAATAATTCCAAAAGAATATGTATTTGTAAATTATAAAAGTTGCAACTAAATAAATCTATTTTATCAATTTGAGTTCAGCTAAAGTTAAAAATTAAATCAGCCATGTAGCATCAATATAAATTTCAAATTTTTAAATAGATATAAATAGAAGAAAGAATAATTTATTTTATCTTTTTATATTATTTTATTCCAACATAATGCAAGTTATTTATCCTAATCTAGCTTTAAGTATGAATTTTTTTTTTGGAATATTAGAATTTTTTGATAGAAATGGAATTCAAACTTAATTTTTGCAAAGAAGATAAATGAATATACCTATTTTGGAATCAAATATTCAAGTAAGAAAATATTTATATATATTTTTTAACACCATAAATTTTTTATATTTTAACATGGTTTGGCTTATTAATAGGTATATGTATCATCTATTCAAAATTTTATATTTTTCAAATAATTTTTTCAATTTAATCCCTAAATTTTTAATTTTATTCAATTTAGTTCATGTACTATACATTTATTGTTCAATTTAGTCCCTATGTTATGGCGTATATTTTTCTTTGAAAATTTTTTTTTTCTTGATCTGTCACATGGCGTCAATACCTCAACATTACTATGTCATCATATCTATGTCGTGTGACATTACCATATCATCACATTGATGTTACATGGCGCAGCCACATTATCATGTTAGTGCCATATCACCAAAAGGTGTCATGTCAATGTTAATGTCATCACTTTTAACGGTAAATTAGATACGGTTAATAATAAAGACTAAATTAAGGCAATTCTCAAAATTAAGAAATTAAATTGTTTTGATTTTAAGTGTAGAGACTAAATTGGACAAAATGCATGATTTTAGGGACTTTGTAAATATTTCGACCAAATTATTTTCATTAATACTTAGTATGAGAAAAAAATTGACTATAGAAGATAGGAGAGATTACTATTTTCTATCTTCATCACAAAAATAAATTTAACTTGAAAAGATTAAGAAAAAAATTAGAAAATATGAGTTAAGTGTAGCATATTTACTAGATAGTTTATCATCCTTTAGATTTTACCCTTTAATCTTAACTTACACATGTGTAATGATATAATAATCTAATTTTCATTTTATTTCTTTTCATAATTAACTTTACCAAGCAAGGGATGGAAGGTATTATTTTTTTTATTTGTTATTCTATCTTATTACAAATGCCTAATATTTACCCGTGATAATCTTACCTCTAATGGGTCCCCTTTGGCAACTAAGTGATGAGGTCTTGTTTA